CCCCCAAAACCCCAAAACCCCATGAATCTGAAATTTAAAATAATCAGGATTAAGCAAATAAAAGAATTAATAATAGGAATATTCTTCATAAATTATGTCTCAAAAAATAAAGTTTGAAATTATACAAGTTTTTAAAACTTTCATTTTCAGTCATCAATAATCTTAGAAGCTACATCAATACCTGAAATATAAGCACCATGAGCGCTTCCTATGAAATTGAAATTAGTGTGCTCACCAGCAAAGTATATCTTCTTATCAATATCTTAGGCAATATTAAGTGGATCTTCCTTAGTAGCGCCGACCTTGACAAAGGAATATGCCTATCTTGCGAATTAATCATGGTTCCAGTTAGATCTATAGTATTTCACGTAATCAGTGGCTTAAGGGTACATGATTCTTAGTGTTTCCATAGCTGACCTAATTACATCTTCGTCAGACAATTCTGAGAATTCTCTCGCATCTTTTCCAAAATTGAACAAAATAAGTGCTGGTTTCTTTGTATATTAATAATGGTTAAGAGTAATTCCCCATTTTACATTTCCATCTGAGATGTAGTAAAGCCAGTCAGCTTCCTCATCCCAGAATACATCTTAGAATTCCAAGTACAACTTGTCCATTAAACCAGTTCCCATCTTTTCAATTGAGTCTTGCTTAGACTGAGGTAGTTGAGGGGTAAAGGTAATCATTTTACTTTTCAAGATAGCAAGAGGTACAGTAACAATAACTCTATTAGCTTCAAAAATTTGACCGTTGTCTGTAATAACATTCACATATTCTCCTGAGTAGTCTATATGAGTAATTTTCTAGTTAAGAATGACGTTTAGATCTTTTGCTAGAGTTATAGGTATCTAAATGTAACCATCTGGAAAGATATGTTCAGGGCCTAAGAATAAGTAATCATTGCTAATATACTTTCCGGATATTTAATCAGCATCAGCGGCGTATTCAAATCCACAAAAGTGAGCAAAGGTATAGTCCTTGATATTTTGGTCTAACTTAGCATCACCACTAGAAGTTTTTTAAGTTAAGTTGAACTTTGAGTACATTTCCTTAAGAGATGTGTTTATATTTGCCTTGTCCTGCAATATCTCAAGGCTGTTCTGAAATAACTTAAATACAGTGCCAACATCATAAGTCATTTCCCCTCCCTTGTACCAGTAAAACAAATACTCACCATTATCTCTTTCCTTCCATGTAGCCAAAGTTTTGATATTGTTTTCAAGAGTTACCTGATATAATGGATTATATTTATTTTTCCATTCTTAAAGTCCTTAAACTCCTTTGCCGATACCGTGAATCCAAGAAGCTCCCATATCTAATGTAGTATCTCCGACTTATGTAGTAAATATTCTACCTCCAATTCTATCTCTGCCTTCAAGCACAGTAACATCTCAACCTTCATCATGCAATTTTTTGGCTGCTGCTAGTCCAGATAAGCCTGCCCCAATGACTATAATTTTTTCCCTACAGCCCTTTTCTTGAACAGGTTGTTTTAATTTAGAAGATATCATATAGCTGAGTCTTTATTTTTATAATTATTTTCGTTTTTAATATATTATAACTAACTATCTCTGTTAGATCAATCGACTGCGGGGTTTTGGGGTTTTGGGGTTTTGGGG